TTTGCAGTTACTCTACAGGTCGCAATTATAGACCAATCGAAGTTAGCACATGGCTAGAGCTTAGGGCGGGCAGAAGTCTTCCAATTTTGATGGTCATCGGGTAATACTTAGTGGGTGAAATAGACCATAACATTTGTGTTTAACAAAAGTAAATTTTCCATTTAATTCCTGCGAAATCACAAATAGGCGAACAGGTCAATTCTGACTGTTACGTAGATGCCCATAGTAAATATATCGGATATATATAGCGAAATATACACAATGTGTCTATACAAAGGAAGGGGATGTTAGAATGCTTATATCTAAAGAATGGCTGGACCGATTTTGACAAATTTTGTTAATTTAGCATAAACGAATAAAATCTAAAAAAATCGCATTAAAAGATGCCAAATAATAATGTTAATATAGATTTTGTAGTATTTTGTGACATTTTTGTATTTTTTGGCGGTTATAATATACATATTCCGATCCCCACGAAATTTTCATAAAGGTAGGGTTTTTAAAGATGTCCGCAAAATTTAGGTGTTGAAATAGACCAACAACTAAAAATGTTCCTGATTTTGCAGCCGTTATAAAGGTCACAAATAGAAACCAAAGGACACGAAATTTCGCATAAAATTAGAGTTTAGGACAGCGAGTACAATGGACCACTACTTTTGTGCGAAAAAATACCAACCAATGCCAATTTCCATTTCACCGAAATGCTGAAAATAACTTACAGGCGAAATCCAAAATACACAAAAGCCGAACTTCTGGCTTTTTTTATGCTGATTTCGTTGACGAATATAGCCAAATATCGTAGACAAGCAAATCATAGAGATGAGTCAAAATTTGGAGATATGGAGGGGACTTTTGTTTTTGGAGATGATCACAAAAGATTTAGGTTTTTAAATGAACCAAAGACAGAAAAAATTTCTTGATCACTCAATTGAAACCAATCGGCTCGGAATTTAGCATGAGAAGAGAGTAAAGGACAGGAAAGAAGTCTAGCATTTTGGATGACCATAGGATTATATTTAGCTGTAAAATGAAATACAACAGCACGACAGAGTGTGTAAATATTGACAAAAGCGAAATGTTCCAAAATGTATTTGGACATATTGTAGTGTTGCAGAGTATCACATGGTCGGCCGTCATGACTGTAGCTTTTGCTTACTTATTTTTGCATAAATTTCCATCCAGTCATAGAATTTAGCCTTGAGGTCTTTCATATAAAACAACGATCTGGAGGCAAGGGGTTTCAGGCCTTTTAGACATAGAAAATCATACCGAAGTATTCACATAGGATACCACTTGGAGTTTTTTAAGATAAAAATGTTTTATCGACATTGAAGACCACCTGGATGTCTTTTAGATATGAAAAGTTAATAAGTTTCAGTCAGTGCAACGAAAGCTAATAACGGAACGCACTTGTATAGGAAAATTTACATCTCAAAGTAAGCTGGATTGAGGAAAAAGTTGGCGTCATTTCCATTTTTTTTTTTGACTCCACCCTGTTCATCTTGAGATTTTTTATAGATAAAAACCCACAACGTTGAGGCCTTCTATAAATTGAAGGCTTTCCCGTTGAGGAATTCTATAGAAAGGAAACATCCACCTCGAGGTCTTCTGTATGTATAAATACTCCTTCTGTGGGACAGCAACATATAGATAGCTCTCACTTTGAGGTTTCTGTACAAGGAAGATGAGACATCTGTTGGGGGTTTTCTTATGCAAAGAAACCCTTCACTTGGAGGTCATATTTATGTAGAAGTTTTCATCTTGTTTTTTTTCTATACAGAGAAGAAGATTTAATAAAGTCCTCTTTTTTCACAGATAGAACCCACCCGATATCTTAAAAAGAATAAGCATCCAACAAGCGGTCTTAAAAGATGAGGACCTTCACTAGAAGGTTTTCCATAGATAAAGATAAGTTCCACGTGTAGCTTTTCTATACATAGAACACCATCTGCAATTGAAGACAACTTGTTGATAATATATACATAGTTCCTCCACCTAAAGTTCCTCTAGAAATAAGGGATCACGTGAAGCTATCATAAATGCGAGATTTCAAAATGTCTTTTAATCACAGACTACTTCGTGAGATATCCTCTACATAAAAAGCCATCTTTTAAGTTATAAGACCATCAACAGTTCTCTTTCACATAGAATGCCATTAATGAAAATATTCTTTCCTTCATTCTTTCCTTTTACTCTTCGTTGGCATACTTTCCCCTCACAGAACGCTGAACTTTTGAAATCAGGACTTGGAGACAGTTTAACCTATATTTTGGCCAACATAATAAATCAAAAAACCTACAAATACCCCAACACAGACGACTGCCATAGCAATGGCATGCCGTGAATTTCGTATATTCCTGCACATGGCGAATAAAAACGCAAAATCCCCCCATTCGCTGGAAATGAAGTCAAAACATGATAAAACCCCTAAAAGGTTCTTGCCGTAGGTTTGGTTGTTGCTGGCAAAATACATGGCCCATTTCGGTAATCGAAACAATCACTGTGCGATAGACTAAAACAACAATGCCAAGTTATTCACTTTGTGTTGTATTTCATCATGTTTGTTGTTAAAATAAAAAGCAAAACTATAGAAAACTAAAATATATAAAATTCACATTGAACTGCGCAAGGACACAACTGTGCAGCAGGATAACTGGCGGGATTGCTGACTGACTGACTGGCAATGCAAGGTAAATTCAACAAAACTCGTCAATTTGTTGAAGGCGAAGGAAGATGTTTGTTTGCCGTTTGTTTCTGGGTCTTCAGCGGTAAAATGAAGATGGGGTTGCCATTGCGCACTAAATATTGGAAATTTTGGCCGGGGGTGAAATAAGGTTTCATATCTGGTGGTTCGGAATTTTATTTTATAGATCAGCCACCTTGATGAGGAGGGTGATTTCTTTCTAATACGATTCGAAAGCATTTTTTACGCAAAAGCTGCATATTTCATGGTTTAAAATTTTGAATAAATTCTCCATACAAATATATGAAATTACTTCCTGACTTTCTTCCAATTTTGCGATTTTAAATACTCTTAGAAGATACCTATAAAACAAAATTCTCCTAAACATTGCCAATTTTAAAATTTCATAAAATTTAATCAATTTATTGCTCTGATTTCTTCTTCTTGCCAATATTTTGAAGAATCCTAAATTTCGGAGGTGAAATAAAGGTCTTTTCTAATAACAATTGTAAAATACTTTTCAATGACTTGTTTATTTTAGAAACTTCATGCTTAACATGTGAGGATTTTTAAGGACTTCCTGACATAAGATCGTAAAGTTTTGATAATTAAAAAAAATAATTATGGAAAAAGATTTTTTGAGAACCTAAAGGTATCGTAAGTCTAATAGTATAAAGAACATTTGGCAAAAAAATCTTTATTTTTTATTAACAAAATAAATAATAAACTTTTTAATAATATTTTTTTTGGATCTTCGTGTCAAAGAATTGTGAAATGTAATAGCATTTTTTGTCAAGGTTTCAAGAATTTATTTAAGGACATCATGTGAGAACATTTTTTCATGAACTTGGTGGCAGAAACTCGTCTGTCTGTTGATGTTAAAGAACAACGTGGTCAAAAAATTTGAAGTTTTGAAATATTTTTCAAGAATATTATACCAAATTTAGTACTTTTTTGACAACTATAGCACACTTTTCAAAAAAAAAAAAAACTACCTGCATATATAAATTGCAGATACCAATAGAGACCTCAATATCAAATTTGAGGATTTCAGCCCAATCCCTTCACCCAATACAAAATTTAGTACTATTTAGTACTTTTCGTACAATTATAGTAAATACTTTCAAAACTACCTACCAAATACTACTATTTGGTACCTTTTGTACAATTTCTATATAATATAATAATAATTTGTATAATAATATTTCTCCTACCACCTTCATATCTCAATTCTAAATACCAATAGTACTGGTACTCTCGAATTGAGATATGAGGGTATACCATTTAGTACAATTCGCACACACTTCCAAGCCACCTTTATACAATAAACATACATTCCAAGCTCAATTCTCATGTCAAATTTCCCCAAGCTGTTACCACTATTCGTTCACATAATACCAAATGGTACCATTTCAGAAGTTTAGTACCATTATAGAACTTTTCGTTACCTTAAAGTTCAAAAAACCCTTTGGTTCATTTATCATGGACTGGAAATATCAGAATTCTAGCTCATTTCGTTTGTTCAATACAATGTGTTAATTTTTCAGTACATATCAGTACTTTTCGTAACCTTATTGTACGTATTTCTAAAAACCCAGTCTACTCACACGTCTACACACAAAGACTGGTCCTCGAGCAAAAATTCAAGATTCTAGCTTCAGCCATTTCGTCTAGGCATTGATTTTAGATCAGTCACTCAGTCAGTTAGTCAGTCAGTTATTTCACTCCGCTCGTAATAATCGACGGTGGCATCAGAACAAATGCCGAATATTATCGCGAAAATATTCTGGAGGGTGTATTAAAGCCTTGGGCATGCAAACATTTTGGCCGCCGACCTTGGACATTCCAACAGGACTCAGCACCATCGCACTCAGCACGCGCCAACCTAGAATGGTTACAAAATGAGGTTCCTCGCTTCATTTCCAGCACACAATGGCCACCAAAATCTTCGGATACTAATCCGTTGTGTCTGGAGTATTTTGGAAAGCAAGGTTGGGACTAAAAAATACCAAAGTGTCGATCACCTCAACCAAGCACTTCGCCGGGAATGGGCCAACATAATTCTAAAATTTTATGCTATTTCCGACATATTTTTCTTTCATTCAATAAAATTTTAAAATATGTAAACATTATGGCGTTTGACTTTGTTGCAGTTTTTTGTCACAACCTTAAGCAAATCAATAGATAGATACTTTCTTACTTGTTAGATTTTACATACTAAACATGAAGCAAGCCATTATGGCAACCCTGAACTACTCTAGTCAATACACAACACCAGACAACCCTTAACTTTTGGTGATATTCTGCTAAGTTGAGTTAGTGCGACTTTACGTCAGCCCTGTCTAGTTTGTTTCTCAAAGAAATATTGAAACTGTAACCAAACCGTAAAGAAACCAATTTCACCAAAAACAACTATAACTACACAGAAGAAACGCCAAAGTAAATCAAACTAAAATCTAACTACCAATAACAACAACAAATAAATACAAACACAAGAATTTCTAAGAAATTCTTAGAGACCGACGACCACAGCATAAGTGCCATCATATTGGCGCGTCAGAATTTAGTTTAGTTTTAACTCTTCAATCAAACGGTTGCCAGGAATATTAAGGAAATCAACGAAAACTTAAACACTTTTGAAAATTAAATAGACAATTGTTGTGGAATTAACAAAATAAAATAGAACGTTTGAAAGAAAAAACATTTGTGAAAAAGGTTAGCTTAGCATTTTTGCCATTGGAGTGCATTATCCTTTTTCGTGGTTATTGCCCTCTGGAAGAAACTAAAAAAAAACACAAATGGAATACATTCCCAACCACTGCAGAAAAATCGATAAACTTGCATGGTTATTATTTGTAATATTAATAAAAGTGGAATATTTTGTTGTTGTTGGCGTTGTGGCAGTAGACTTGCGTGCTAAGTGAGTGTGACACACATTGCCGTGTGAAATGACCAGTTGCACGAATTTAACAAATGTTCCTAATTGATGTCCATTTAAAAATAGAAATAATTTTAAATATCCTTTTTTTAAAATTGTGAACTATTTCTCGAAGAAAGATAACTGAAATAAGGATACTTACACAGTGCAACACAATAAACAAATGCAATATTCAACAACTTCAATGGAACTTTTTAAAAGACATCGGTATCTGATAAATAAGTTGTTAGAACGTTTCAACAAAGAAAAAACTGCAAGGAAAGATCAAAGGAAAGACCAGGGTCGACTACCCTACACCACTATGCCTATTTAGAAGAGCTCCCGCAACAAAATAGTTTATATTGAGAATTTAGAGAGAGAGAATTTATGAACCTTATTTGAATGCGAATCATGGCTTTAGAGTAGTCACAATTTAGGAACGGAAACGATTTTCAATAAATTTGTCGGAGGCTTTTATACCCCTAGTACAAAATAACATTGCTGTATATAGTGCCGGACCGAGTTTCACCAAATGGAAAAATACGGTTGAATATGAAACAAATAAAAAAGCCGTAAGTTCAGCCGGGCCTAACTTTGAATACCACCCATCATTTGGAACGAATTTGACAATTTTCAAAAAATAAAATCCGTTAAAAATTCTGTTAAAATCTTAAAAATGTAGCCGTTATGTTAGTATCTATACGAAGACGTGGACCTGCATAGGCAACTTTTGTCATAAGCCATTAGAATATTCAAATGCGAAACTTGACAAAAATCGGTGAATGATGTAGCTAAAATCATCAAAATACCGAATATAGGGAGGTACAATTATATGGGGACTATATGAAGACGTAGACCTGCACCGACAACATTTTTCATAGGCTGTAATATCCATTACGAACTTCAAATACAAAACTTGAAACAATTTCGGTGAATAATGTAGATAAAATCATCAAAATACCGAATATCGGGAGGTACAAAGACGTGGACCTACATAAATTTGAAACAATTCCGGTGAATAATGTCGCTTGAATCGTCAAAATAACGAATATCGGGAGTTGCCGTCATAATTGGGCTATACGAAGGCGTGGACCTGCACGAACAATTTTCTGTCGTATGCTGTAGATTCCCGTACGGAATTCAAATACCAAATTTGATACAATTATGCTGAATAATGTCGCTTAATTCACCAAAATACCGAAAATAGGGGGTACAATTATATGGAGGCTATACCAAAAGATGGACCTACATGGCCCATTTTCAATACCAAAAGTAAAATTTGAGAACAATTTTATCAACCTTCTTCATTTCGTTCGGAAGCTAGACTGATTTCCACATACGGATAGACGGACAGACAGACATAGCTAAATCGACATAGTTTTATGCTGATCAAGAATATCGGTTTTATGCTGATCAATACTTTGTGGGGTCTAAAATGTATATGTCGAGGTGTTACAAACGGAATGACAAACTTAATATACCCTCCATACTATGGTGGAGGGTATAAAAATCTATCCCTTTGGGCTGACATTACATATATGGTGGAAGATAACCGTAAAATCGGATGAAGATATGTATCGAAGGTATACAAAAACCTGAACCGATCTCGATAAAATTTGGCAGAGGTATTTTTGAGCTATACCCGATGTCCGGTATCAAATATTGTGGATTGCATATACACAGATGTGTATTGTTTGGAAAATTTCTTCTCAATCGGATAACAAATGCGCCCTGCATTTGTTCACAAAAATACATGGACAGACGGACGGACAGACGCGCATAAATCGACTCAGAATGTGAAGTAACTATGCGTCTATCTCCCTTCCTTCTCCATGTAACAAACAAAGGTATAAAGACATAATAATACCCTTACCACGATGTGGTGTATGGTATGAAAATAGTTAATATTCAACGGGACGTATGAGTCTTTTTATAATATTTTTTAGCTTATAACAATCATACGCCCCATTTCATACCTTATCATTTAATATTGATATCTGTCATACGAAGTTCCGTTAAATCCAATTTTGAGTTTTGCATTTTAGTGGGAAACTGTAATGAAGTCTCTAAAAAATCTAGTTGATATAATAGCATCTCAGCATTATAGATATATATAGTCTATTCGCACGAAATTTGTTTTAAATTCTTGAAGTCGACCGAGTAACATATGTCCGAATGTGTAATTGCTGCTAAAGATAATTCTGATACGATTTAGACCACTCTGAACCTGGAAACATTTTTATCAAACTTCAATCGTATTAAAATTTATGCAATATTGATTCACTGCTTCTATACAAAAGTTTAATATTTTGATCAATCTCAACTTTAATGAGAATATAATGACAGAATTTTTGCCAATATTAAATCTAATGTGAAAATCGGTCCAATTTTTTCATTTACCTCCCCAAAATGGGCCAATATTTTGAAAAATATAAATCTCTTATTGCCCGTACTATTTTGTACTATTTTCGCACATAAACAATTTTGGTATCACACTGATCGTCCGGTGCCTTCCCCACAACTATTCAAAATTTCTCCAGAAATGAGAATTTAAACCATAAAGAAAAGACAATGTCTATGTGAACCAAACAAAAACTTTTAACTACTTATCGTTTCTTTTCCATAAAAAAAAATTCTTAAATTAAACGAACCGAATGAGATAAGATAAATACATTATCTAATACATATATCATACTAGCAAGTGTCCGCTACTTCGTCCGCGAAAAGTCCACCTTCAATTTTTAGATTCATTCTAATATTCTTTTTAGTACCAAAAAATGCACGGTTTTTTTCAGTTTGACAACATTTTTTAATCAAAACTTTATACATCGTACTAAATTTTATATTATTCATTTTTTTTTCTTTTTCGGAAAAAAAAAATAGGTAAATGTTTGCCTTATACACCAAAAAGTCGTCAAAATCTTTCGTTTTCGAAGTTAAGCGAGGATAATATTGGTAAAAACCATTGCACAATGAACCTACGTCCAATTTTTCTGCCCGAAACTATTTACACGTCTCCCTAGAAACCAACAGTGACCTCAATATACAATTTTTGAATTTTTGCTCTATCCCTTTACTCAATACAAAAATTAGTAAAGTTTAGTACGCATATCTAAAACAATCTATATTTCTCTATTCTAGGCACCAATAGTGATACAATATTAGTATCACTATTGACTCCAACAGTGACATAAATATTATATTTCAGGATTTCACCTAAATTTCTTCACCCAATATAAAAATTTAGGACTATTTAGTACTTTCAGCACAATTATAGTACACATTTCCAAAACCTCCTCCATATCTCAATCCCAGATATTAACAGAGAATTTAATTTCAAATTTCGGAATGCCAGCTCCATCCCTTAATCCAATACCGAATTTAGTACCATTTAGTCCTTTTCATACAAATATAGAACGCATTTAAAAACCATCGCCAAATCTGTACGCGGATACCAACACTAATCTAAATATTAGATTTCAGAATTGTGTCTTTATCCTTTTAACCATGACCAAGTTTAGTACCATTTAGTGCTTTTCGTAAAATTATAACAAACATTCCGAAACCATTTCCATATACCAAAGCTAAACTCAAGCAAGCACTATCTGTTCACCCAATACCAAAATGTACCAATTACAGTACTATTTAGTACTTTTCGTGCACTTGTAGTGCAAAACGTACACTTTATCACTCAACATTTCAGCCTTAACCGTTCACCGTAAACCTGAAATGTTTATTTAGGGTCAGCTTATGTATGTCGAATGGAAATGAATGAAAATCACCATTTCTATATGTTGTTTTCAAAAACGGACACCATTTTCCAATTAGAGGTGAAATTTGGTATTCAAACAAAAAGTTCGTTTTTCAAATGTAGAAGCCAATGTTTATTTCATAAAAAAAAACAAGTAAGTCGAGCGGGGCCGACCGTTAAATACCCTACAACACTATAATAAACGATACTGTTTATATAGGCGAGATACTCGAAAGAATTCCACAAGATATTGTGACAAATAATAAAAGAAAACCATCATGTTTCGTTCTTTAATTTTCGAATAATAGCAACTTAAACGAATTGGCTCATTTCCAATTTATTGGTAGATGTTGCACGTAAATGGTCTTCCTAGATCTGGAACCAATATTTCCCAAAGACCTATAATCTCTCAGAAGTGGCAAAAGATTAACATTTATTATTGTTTTTTGACTGAAACGCATCTATATGAGATACAGACATTTGATTATATTCTTCAACGAAATCAGAGTTAACGAAATAGTCAGAAGTGCGTCTTTCCTGTATTTGTGAATTCTCCAAAAATCACTGGAATCGACATTTTCGTATTTTGTCTACAAAAGTTGGCAAACTATTTCACACATTGAATATTTTTGGATGGCCATCCGAAACTGCTTGGCTTTTGCAATGTGCGGTAACCACCATTCAAATGTGCGTGAGGATTGGGCGATAATTACGACCTGCCGACAATTTTGCAGTTTTTTTGGTCCATTTCAACCCCTAAATATATGGCGA